CATACACACACAGAATGGAAGGTGGCGTGTTATTTTTGCCGAAGTCATTGTGAGGCCTGGAGGGACTCGGTTCAGACCCCCAAACTCCTCAGAGTACAGGGACATGGGGATCGAACACAGCTGGAAACTTGGCTAGGGGAGTCCGAAGCTGCTGCACGCCCTGATGGGTCTGGAGGGAGATGTTAGAGGTTCTTCCTCCAAAGGCCTTAGGCTATATTCCGTTTTCTCTCTGACTCAGGTAGCAGAAACTGATCTGGAACGTGGAGCTTGAATCTGAAGTGCCGGGGCAGGAGGGGTGCAGTAAATTGTGACAGGTGAGGGAGAGGGTCAGGGAACAGACTTGAGGGCTTGTAGGCCAGAAATGAATAAAGGTAGAAAATCCAGAGGAGCCGAGTAGACTGAGATTCTGTGATTGCTGAGTGAGGAGGGTGAGAGAGGACAGGACCCCTGCTGAGGAGGCATGGGTTTAGCACACAGGGAAGGATCCAGCAGCATCAAGTTGCTTTTCCACCCACAGGTCCTGGATGCATGGAGACAAGAGGGCTTTCATAATTGAGGTTTGAAGCAGTCCCCCAGGCAGCAGAAATCCATCTTGAGGTGAAATAACTTCCATCTGGCCCTGTGGCAGAATTTCAAGGCAGTCACTGGACTGACTCTGGGGCCATTACGTTGCCTGATCCTTCAGCCCGGGGAGAGCGGGACTGGGAGAAGATTTTGACTTCAAAGAACAGGGAAGATACGGAGACCATGAGGAAATTGACTCCAAAACATGAGGCTAAAGGTGAGAGTTGCTGAGGGTGCGGAGAGGTGAAGGGGGGGACCAAGGCTCCAGGTTCAGGTGAGAATGCTTTAGAGGCCACAGCTGAGTGAAGTGGCTGCTTCCATCCCAGGGCTCAGAAGAGCTACTCTGGGAGCGTTCTGGGAGGTCTGCTTTCTCACAGCTTCTCTTTCTCTTAGGTGTGTCTTCTAAGAACACTGACTGCCCCCAAGAGAAGAAGAGGAAGCCCACAGTGCTGGTGAGTTGGAATTGCCTTCTTTTTCTGAAATGCTGGCTGCTTTCCAAGGGAATAGGTATATACTCCCTGTCCAGGGAAGGGAGAAGGCGATCAACATTTAGGCCTTTCATGCCTTCCTGTCAGGTACCCTGTTAGGCATTTTAGAATGTTTTTTCCATTTTTGCATTTCATTTTTCTTGATGGGAAATATACCCAGTATTAATATTAAGAATCCAGGAAACTCAAAGGCATAAGGAACATTTTTGATAAACTGAGATTAATTAAAATTTTAAAATGTTGTATAAAATTTTTCTACACACCCACATGCATACTCTCTAATGATAGCATCTTGTATACTGGGCACGTTTTCACTTTTTAATTACTGAGCTTGTTAAACATACAGAAATGGAGAACATAGTAAAAACAGATTCTGAGATACCATCCTGTAGCTTCAACACTCATCTCTAATGACCAGTCTTGTTTACAGGAATATGATAGTGTGTTGATCAATCGCAAAATATAAAATATCAAAATATCTGCTTTTCCTCTTCTCTGTTCATTCTCATGTGAGCTGTCCACACAGCACTGTCTTCTCTGACCCAGGCCACCTGGAGCTGGGTCAGTCTCACAAGTTAAAAGGATACTGTTCTTCACACTGCCAGATAGGCAGATGCTAGCCACAAGTTTGAGTCCACACGACGCCTTCACTTCTGATGTATTGGCTATCAATTCAGGGTTTTCCTCTACCTCTTCAGGATATCAGCTGCAGGCTTGGGAGACCCCCTTGGGCTCCCTCACTTCTGAACTATTGCCTCCCACTGCTCTTTGGGTTTGATATTCACTGGAATGCCCCACAGAACTCACAAAAAGGGCTGTATTTATTATTACAGCTTTGTTATAGCAAAAAAGGATATAAATAAAGACGTGCATAGGGCAAGTTCTGGGAGGGTTCCCAGTGCGGAGCTTCCATGTCCCAGAAAGGGATGTGCTGCCGTCCCACGTGCGTGGATGTCTCTCACCAACCAGGAAGTCCATGCAGCTTCTGTGTCCAGAGCTTTTGTTGATTTTGTTACCTAGTCGTGATTGATTGCATCAGCCCCCCTCCCTCCCCTGAGGTCAGCTGGACTTTGAAAGAAGCGGTATGATTCATTATATAGATCTTGATGTGCATCTGTAGTTATGAAGTGATGTGTGAACTGAACAGCTAGCGGAAAAGTTTGTACTTTATGCGATAACTCATAGTTAGTGTACCACGGCAACTGATATATTTAATCCATTTTTGGGGGGACTAGGGGTATTTATAACTATGTAGGGTCCCTGTGAGTCGGAATCAACTCAACAGCAATGGTTTGGGTTTTTTTGTTTGTTTGTTTGTTTATTGTTGTAGTTTAAGTGAAAGTTTACATTTCAAGTTAGTTTCTCATATTAAAATTTATACACACATTGTTATGTGACCCTAATTGCTCTCCCTATACTGTAACAGCACACTCCTTTACACCACTGATTTCCCGTGTCCATTCAACCAGCTCCAAACCCTCTCTGCCTTCTCATCTCACCTCCAGACAGAAGCTGGCCATTTAGTCTCATGTATCAACTTGAGCTAAGAAACACACTGTTTATGAGTATCATTTTATGTCCCACAGTCCAGTCCAATCTTTGTCTGAAGACCTGGCCTCAGGAATGGTTTTAATTCAAGGTTGACAGAGAGTCCAGGGGCCATGCTTCCTGGGGGTTTTGGGTTTTTTTTTTTTTTTTTTTTAACTTTTTTTATTGTACTTTAGATGAAGGTTTACAGAACAAATAGTTTCTCATTAAACTGTCAGTACACATATTGCTTTATGACATTGGTTAACAACCCCATGACATGTCAACACTCTCCCTTCTCGACCTTGGAGGACCTTTTTTTTGGTGAAAATATACATAGCCAAAGATACACTGTTACAAAAATTTCTACACATACAATTCAGTAACATCGATTACATTCTTCCAGTTGTGCTGTTATTCTCACTATCCTTTTCCAAATTATTCCATCACCATTATCTTCAACTCACTGTCCCCTAGGCTTCCCATCAAACCTTTTGAGTTGCTGTTGTCAGTTTGATCTCACATAGATAATTCTTTTTTTTTGTACTTTAGATGAAGGTTTACAGAACAAATAGTTTCTCATTAAACGGTTAGTACATGTATTGCCCTATGACAATGGTTAACAACCCCACGACATGTCAACACTGTCCTTCCTGAACCTTGGGTTCCCTGTCACCAGCTTTCCTGTCCCCTCCTGCCTTCTAGTCCTTGTCCCTGGACTGCTGTGCCTCATTAGTCCCGTTTTGTTTCATGGAGCTGTCCAATCCCTGGCTGAATGGTCAACCTTGGGAGTGACTTCACCACTGAGATTAAAGGGTGTCCAGCGGCCATATTCAAAGGGTTTCTCCAGTCTCTGTCAGGCCAGTAAATGTGGTCTTTTTGGGTGTGTTAGAATTCTGTTTTACATCATTCTCCAGCTCTGTCGAAGACCCGTTGTTGTGATCCTGGTCAGAGCAATCGGTGGTAGTCAGGCACCATCTAGCTGTACTGGACTCAGTCTGATGGAGGCTTTGGTAGCTGTGGTCCATTAGTCCTTTGGACTGATCTTTTCCTTGTATCCTGGTCTGTTCATTCTCCCTTGCTCCCGAAGGGGTGAGACCAGTGGAGTATCTCACTTGGCTGCTTACAGGCTTTTAAGATGCTACTCACCAAGGGAGAACGTAGAACATTGTCTTTATAAACTGTATTATGCCAGTTGAGCTAGATGTTCACTGAGACTATGGTCCCCACAGCCCTCTGCCCAGGAATTCATTCCCGCAGGGAGTTTGGATGTGTCTGTGGAGTTTCCAGACCTTTCCTTGTACAGGGTGTACTGGCTTTCCCAGTATTGTGTACTGTCTCACCCTTCACCAGAGTTACCACTAATCTATTGCCCATTTAGTGGTTTTGGGTTTTTCTTAATGGTCATTTAACTAAACCATGGTAACTGAAATCCATGCGTATTAGAACTGTGCAAAATGAGTTCGTATATTTAAAGTGGGTGAATTATAAAGCAAATGAATTGCAAATTATACCTCAATAAAGTGTTTGTAGGCGCCCTGGTGGCGCAGTGATTAAGTGCTCGGCTGCTAACCAAAAAGTTTGAACCCAGTTGTCCCTCCAGGAAAGAAAGATGTGGTGGTGGCCTTCTTTCGTAAAGATCATAACTTTGGAAACCCTGTGGGGCACTTGTACTCTGTCCTGTAGGGTCGCTGTGACTCAGTAGCAATGGTTTAAAGTGTTTGTTTTTGTTTTTTAAGATTAAATTATCTGTAAATGTCCTTTTTCTGGAATATTATTGCCATTCTCTTGCCAACTGTTTTGCATAGATGAGCTACTACTCTACATGATGAGTGACGTGTTAAGGACTTTATTAGAAAAGGTTATTAAAATACATACACAAAGATAGTGATTTTACAGATCCCATTAGGTCCTGAACTCTGCAGAAGTGCTCCCTCCAGGCCCCATCTGTATCTGTTCACTCCCTGTTTTCTCTGTAGGTGAAGTTTCCATCCATCTTCTCCTTTAAATCTTCACCGTTCCTTAATGCCTAGCACAAGCCCCATCTCCATGACACCTTTTGTTCTTTTCTAGCCCATCTTGTACTCTCCCATCTTGAATTCCTCCATTATGAGTTCTCAAAGTCACTTTCTTGAATACTGCTGAATACTTTCAAATTGATTCACAAAGCATTTCTCCAGTGAAATCATATGTGTTTCAGGGCCAGGATGTGTTTCGTGCATCAGTTGTGCTCCCCACAGATTTTATCACAAAGCCAGGTATACAGTCATGTCCAGGAGAACTGGATATGGGGAACTGTGTTCTGTGAAAAGACTTAGATGAACTTCTTCAGATCCAGACTCTTGAGGGCCACCAGTTAAACTCCTTTTATTCGGAAAATCGATGGTGATTTGCTGTGCATTGATTTATTGCTTTTTCTAGGAACCAGTTACATTCGAGGATGTCACTGTGGTCTTCACGGAGGCAGAATGGAAGAGACTGAGCTCTGAGCAGAAGCACCTATACAAAGAAGTGATGCTGGAGATTTACAGGAATCTGCTCTCATTGGGTGAGGATGTGCTCTTTTCTTTTCCTTCATTAATTCAGTAGATAGGTATTGGGCAGTTATTATGTGCCAAAGGAGCCCTGGTGGTGCAGTGGTTAAGCATTTGTCTGCTAACTGAAGGGTCAGCAGTTCAAACCCACCAGACTCTCCACGCGAGGAAGATGTGGCAGTCTGCTTCCATAAAGATTTACAGCCTTGGAAAACCTATGGGGTGGCTCTAGTCTGTCCTGTAGGGTTGCTGTGAGTCACAGTCTACTCAACGGCAAAAGGTTTTTTGGTGTTCTATGTGCCAAAGGTTGCTGGGTGGTGCAAACAATTTGCACCTATTAACCTGTAGTTTGGTGGTTCATACCAATTCAGCAGCACCGCAGAAGAAAGGCCTGAATGGTAAGGTATTTCTATTTCTAGCTTTTTGAGGAAGTGCCATACTGTTTTCCATAGTGATTGTACCATTTTACAAACCCACCATCAGTGTATAAGAGTTCTGATACCCCCACAACCTCACCAGCATTTGTTTTTTTTCTGTTTTTTGATCACTGCCATTTTTGCAGGGGTCAGATGGTATCTTATTGTAGGTGTTTTTTTTTCTTTCTAAATTTTAATTATTTTGGTGGTGGTGTTGAGAATATACACAGGGAAACTGACACCAATGCAACTTTTCTGCATGTAGAATTGAATGACGTTGATTACGTTCTTTGAGTTGTGCAGCCATTCTCACCCTACTTAATAGAGTGGGTCCTCCCTCATTAACATAGACTCACTGCCCTCTAAGGTTCCTATCTAATCTTTCAAGTTGCTGTTGACAATTTGATCCCATATAGATAGTTCTTAAAAGAACATCTAATGCTCAAGACTGACCTTTTTTACTAGTTAAGCTAAACTATTGTTTGGTTTTAAGAAGACTTCAGGGGATATTTTTGATTTAAGGTTTAAAGATTATATCAGGGCAGTAGTTTCAGGCTCCAGACAGTCTAGAGTCCATGTGTCTTAGTCATCTAGTGCTATTCTAAGAGAAAGAGCACAAGTGGATGGCTTTAACAAAGAGAAGCTTATTTCCTCATGGTAAAGTAGACTAGAAGTCCAAATGCAGGGTATCAGCTCGAGGGGAAGCCTTCCTCTCTCTGTAGGCCTTTTCATCAGTCTTCCCCTGGACTAGGAGCTTCTCAACTCAGGGACCCCAGGTCCAAAGGAAGCAATCTGCTCCCTGCACTGCTTTCTTGGTGGTATGAGGTCCCCTTGTCTCTCTGCTCACTTCTCTCTTTTATATTTCAGGAGATTGCCTCAGGATACAGTCCAGTCTTGTAGATTGAGTCCTGCCTTATTAACACAACTACCACCCATCCTTCCTCATTAACATCATAGAGCTAGGATTTTTAACATACAGGAAAATCACACAATACCAGGCATCATGGCCCAGCCAAATTGACACATTTTGGGGGGGACATAACTTAATCCATGACACCATGAGAATTTGAAATTCTGTTCTGCTTTCTGTCAGAATTCTCCTATGGAATCTTTGATCAAAATGTCCCTCAAGTCTTCTTAAAACCAAACAGCGGTATAGCTTAACTAGTAAATAATGTTTGCCTTGAGCATTGTTCTCTTTTTAGAACTAGCTATATGAGCTCAAACTGACAACAGCAACTGGAAAGATTAGATAGGATCCTTAGGGAGCAGTGAGTTTATGTTAATGAGGGAGGAACTCAGAAAAGGAGGTTGAGAACGGTTCCACAACTTGAAGAATTAATGTCACTGCATTGTACATGTAGAAACTGTTGAATTGGTGTATGTTCTGCTGAGTATATTCTCATTAACAATAATGAAATGAATAAAAGTAAGAAGGAAACAATTGAACATCTTCTTGTCTCTTTTTACGGAAAATAACACAGGATGGATAAACGAGAAAATGATACTGATTTCGTAAGGGGTTCTGTATAGGATATTGCTGGAAGAATGTGGGAAGGAGAGTCATTTTTCTGAGGTTACCTTTTTGAATAGTTTTTCACTTCTGGGACCATACAGGTGTTTGACGTACTCAAAGAAATAAAATTAATTCAACAAAGATAGGGAGAAACCCTAAACTAGAATACAAAAACCAGATCTAACTGTATTTCAAGTGAATAACATGACCACGGTCAACAGGGGGAGGACAACCCAATTAACCTTTGAACAGAGAACTTTGACCTTATATTCAGTCTAAAGCAGGGGTTAAGGGGTTAGCAGACTACAGCCCAAAGGCCACATCTGGCCTGCCTCCTGTTTTTGTAAATAAAATATTCAGAACACAGCCACTTGTTTATGTATTGTTTGTGGCTACTTTCATTCTATTACGGCAGAGTTAAGTAGTTGGAACAGACCTAGTAGTCTGCAGAGCTTGAAATATTTACTGTTTGATCCTTTACAGAAAAAGTTGGCCAAGTCCTTGTCTATTGACCCCCTTAAAAAAACACCTGTACATAAATCTTGAGCTACATTTTGTATGTTTGTTTTTTGTAGCTATATGGGTCAGCTATTCTGAAACCCCTTTCTTTGAATTTTGAGATTAAGTACGTGGATAAATATACTGATGTTGGGAGCCAGGTTTTAACTTTTGGAGAAGGGAGATACAAATATGGAATGGGGAAGGCTGGAAACAACCTGGATTTGGATTGGAATAGGAGGTGTCAGAATAGACTCAGGGGTTTAAAGTATTTGGAGATACGCGCGCAAACACAAAGACAGACATACATACGTGTACAAGCACACAACACACACGCCCCAGGTGAATTGGAATAACTTCTGTATAAATATAACAGGATTGTGCCATTAAGGAGCCCTGATGGCACAGTGGTTAAGTGCTCAGCTGCTAACCGAAAGGTCAGCAGTTCGGCCGACCCAGTGGCTCTGTGGGAGAAAAGACCTAGCAATCTGATCCCATAAAGATTGCAGCCTAGGAAACCTTATAGGGCTTTTCTCCTGTGTCACATGGCAACACTGTAAGTTGAAATCGACTTGATGGCACCTAACAGTGGCACCATTAGTGTTCTGATTGTGATAATTGTTCTGTGGTTGATGTAAATAAACACAGTTGTTGTTTAGGAATATAGTTGTTCTAATTAAGGAGTAAGAGGACACAATGTAAAACAAAGTTCCCCAAAGTGGCCTCTGTAAATCTAAATGATCTTTAGTGAAATGACACTTTTACTGGATTAGAATTATAATGAGTTTATGTGATTTCCTTTAACAAAGGTGTTAACTGTAATGAGCCTGCAGGTCCCACGTTTAACTCAGAATAGACACAAAAGAGATTTTTTCTCCCTCGAAAATCCTTCTCAGAGACGTAGAGTGTAACAGACTGCAGTCTGAATGACTTGGTGCGCTTGTAGGTAAGCCCAAGGGAAGACAGCAACAAATCACAGGCGATCAAAAAATCAAGACTGAGAGTTCATTCAGCTCACAAAACTCTGGAGTTACCACACGGTCTCACAGGAGATGACTGGCCAGAAATGGAAGCAAACCCTAGTTAGGTTACTCAGAGAACCTACGTAAATAAAGTAAACTCGGGGAGCCTCTGAGAGAGCCCCCAGAGCCTGCTGAGAGACTCAGACGTGGCAAGGCTGCCGAGCCCCCAGACCTGAGTGCGTTTGAGTGGCTCAGCCCCAGTATACTCCCAGTATAACCCAGCAGTCCCAGCCCAAGCAAGCGAAGTGCAAACAGATTGTCAGAAACTAAAAGATCACAGAGGTTTAACAGATAAAAAAGCTGAATAGGTATTTGTTTCTGAGTAAGCAACCTGTAATTCAGATTTATTTCATATACAGTCTCTATAACCATTATTGCATATTGTGGTGAAATGAGTTCCTTTATGTGGCCTTTTGGCTTGGTCCTTGGAAAAACAGCTTGAGAGATTGTCCTCCCAAACCCTGAAGAGTGACCTTTGCCCTAGTTTTCTACCCTAGAGGATTTGTTAGTTTCCTGGGTAAGCTGTAAATAACTTGGTTTTGATACTTTTTGTTTGGTCATGGGCTGCAGCCTGCCCTGTGATTGGTATGCACCTGCAGGGATTGGTCAGTGAACTGGAGAAATGTATTGTGTGGCCTGCTGAGAGGGGATTGTTCAGTTCGTGGCCCTGGTGGGAGGGCCATGCCTTGAAAGTGACAAGAAGTTGGTGTATATAAGCAGCCAGTCCCACAGAGAATTTTTGAGACAGAAAAGCAGGAAGAGAGGCAACAGTAAGAAGCGGAAGGAAAAACGAGATGCGAAAAGAAGCAGAGAGAGAGAGGAGACCAGGAACTTCCTAAAAGAGCTGTAACAGGGATCACGGGTTGTAACACTGAAGATAGCGAGAGGCTGGGAAGCGGCCCACTGGCAGAGTCTGCAGCAAGTTGAGGACGGGCCCACCGGCAGAGCTGGTGGCCAGAGATGGCAGGACTAGGGGGACTGTTTTCTGAGGGGTCCAGGAGTCTGCCCTGAGGGTCGAGAAGGGCCTCTCTTGAGGTGGTTGAGAGAAGCCTGTCCTCAGGGCGCCAAGAGCATGCCTGCCCTCGGGGCTGAAAGGAGGCCTGTACAGGCTGTAAGATTGGTGTTAATTGCCGTCTAGTCGATTCCGACGCGTGCTGCCAAGTGGAACTGCTCTGTAAGGTTTTCAAGGCTGTGACCTTTCAGAAGCAGATCGCCAGGCCTGTCTTCTGAACCACCAACCGTTCAGCCTGTAATTAAGAGCTTAACTGTCTGTGCCACCCAGGGACTCCAGCAATGAGATACTGTCTGTCATAAGAGAAGGAGAAGAGCCTAGGAGCCCACTTATGGCTACTCTAATGGAAACCTTTCTCTCTTTAGCAGAACCGAAGCCAGAACTCCACGCCTGCTCCTCCTGCCTTCTGGCTGTCTCCTGTCAGCGATTCCTCAGCCAACACGTGCTTCCCATCTTCCCAGGCTTCTGTGCGGAACATCACGTCCATCCAGGACGTTCCAGCCCAGGGCATCAGAGGCAGCCAGAGCGGCAGGATTCTGATCAGAGCTACTGGAGGGAAAACACAGAAGGTCAAGAGAGAGAAGTCTCCAGACCCTTGTGTGGGAGAATAGGGGAAAGAGGGACTTCCAGGGCGTTCTCCAGCCCACCCCAAAGACGGTCAGCAAGCCCTAGAGAAGGCAACACAGAGGTAGGGGTGGAGCCCAACTCAGCCCAAAGGGTAAAGTCTGTGCAAAGAGGCCAAGGGTTGAAGGAATTAGAAACCTCAAGATTTGGAGCAGTCAGCTCTAGAGAAGATGAACCAGACTGTGGCGTGAAGTCAGACTTCATCACACACCAGAGGTCCCTCTTACAGGAGAAGCCCTATATTTGTAGTGAGTGTGGCCGAGGTTTTCACCAGAAATCCCTTTTTTTAATGCACTGGAGGACACACTCAGTGGAGCAGCCCTACATGTGCAGTGAGTGTGGCCAGGGATTTAGCCAGAAATCAGTCTTCCTTATTCACCAGAGGACACACTCAGGGCAGAAGCCACATGTGTGCAAGGAGTGTGGGCGTGGCTTTAGCTGCAAGTCAAATCTCATCGGACACCAGAGGACACACTCAGGGCAGAAGCCACATGTGTGCAAGGAGTGTGGGCGTGGCTTTAGCTGCAAGTCAAATCTCATCGGACACCAGAGGACACATTCAGGGCAGAAGCCACATGTGTGCAAGGAGTGTGGGCGAGGGTTTAGCATCAAATCAAATCTCATCAGACACCAGAGGACACACTCAGACGAAAAACCTTATTTGTGCCTGGAGTGTGGGCGAAGCTTTAAGCAGAAATCAACTCTCGACACCCACCAGAGGACACACACAGGTGAGAAACCTTACAAGTGTCTGCAGTGTGGTCGAGGCTTTAACTGGAAATCGTGTCTCCTTAAACACCAGAGGACACACTCAGAGGAGAAGCCGTATGTGTGCAAGGAGTGTGGCCGAGGGTTTAAACAGAAATCAAGCCTCCTTGTACACTGGAGGACGCACTCGGGGGAGAAGCCATACGTGTGCAAGGAGTGTGGGCGAGGCTTTAACAGAAAACCAAATCTCTTCAGACACCAGAGGACGCACTCAGGTGAGAAACCTTACGTGTGCCTGGAGTGTGGCCGAGGCTTTAACTGCAAATCAAGTCTCATCACACATCAGAGGAAACACTCAGGTGAGAAGCCTTTCGTGTGCCTGCAGTGTGGGCGAGGGTTTATTCGCAAATCAACTCTCATCACACACCAGAGGACACACTTAAGTGAGAAACCTTATGTGTGCCTGGAGTGTGGGCGGGGCTTTATCTGCAAATCAAATCTCATCAGACACCAGAGGACACACTCAGGTGAGAAACCTCATGTGTGCCTGGAGTGTGGGCGGGGCTTTTACTGGAAATCATGCCTCCTTAAACACCAGAGTACACACTCAGGGGAGAAGCCGTACCTGTGCAAGGAGTGTGGCCGAGGGTTTAAACGGAAATCAGACCTCCTTGTGCACTGGAGGACGCACTCGGGGGAGAAGCCATACATGTGCAAGGAGTGTGGGCGAGGCTTTAACAGCAAATCAAATCTCATCACACACCAGAGGACACACTCAGGTGAGAAACCTTACATGTGCCTGGAGTGTGGACGAGGCTTTAACTGCAAATCAACTCTCATCACACATCAGAGGACACACTCTGGTGAGAAACCTTACCTGTGCCTGGAGTGTGGGCGAGACTTTATCTGCAAATCAACTCTCGTCACACACCAGAGGACACACTCAGGTGAGAAACCTTACGTTTGCCTGGAGTGTGGACGAGGCTTTATCCGCAAATCAACTCTCATCACACACCAGAAGACACACTCAAGTGAGAAACCTTACGTGTGCCTGGAGTGTGGGCGACGCTTTAATTGGAAATCGTGCCTCCTTAAACACCAGAGTACACACTCAGGGGAGAAGCCGTACGTGTGCAAGGAATGTGGGCGAGGCTTTAATGGCGAATCAAATCTCATCAGACACCAGAGGACACACTCAGGTGAGAAACCTTACATGTGCCTGGAGTGTGGCTGTGGCTTTAACCAGAATTACCGCCTCCTTATACACCAGAAGACACACTTGAGGTAGAAGCCACATGTAGTGTGGCCAAGGCTTTAGCCATAAGTTAGGCCTCATCACACATTAGTAGACACACTCTTATAAGAAGCCTTATGTTTGCAGTGATTCTGGCCGAGGTTGTAACTGGGAATCAAACATCCTTATACACTGCAGGACACACTCCAGACAGAAGCCACATGTACAAAGAGTGTGTTGAAGGCTGTAACTGCAAATCAAATCTCATCAGATACCAGAGGATACACTCAGGTGAGAAACCTTACTTGCCTCTGGAGTTTAGGCGAGGCTTTAGCCAAGTCAGGCTTCCTTCTCCATCAGGGGACACACTCTGGAGAAGCCACATTAGTGTGAGGAATGTGGGTAAGGCTTTAGCCATAAACCCTCATACATCAGTGGGCTCACTTGGGTGAAGCCCTATGTTTGCAGTTAGTGTGGCTGAGACTTTAAATCAGTCCTCCTCTTAAACACCAGAGCACACAGAATAGAAGCTTTACTTGTGCAGGGAGAATGGGCAAGAATTGGGAGAAAGGCACACTTCAGTATACATCAGAGATCGGTATTATTTGCGGGTGGGGAGAATCATTATGTGGGAAGGGAGAATGGGAGGTGCTCTAGCAATAAGTTATACCTCCTCTTGCACCAGAAGACACTCAGGGAGAGAGCTGTGTAGGCAGGGTCTGTGGGGGGAACTTCATTCTAGTGTTCCTCCTCAACTGACTTAGGACAAAAAAAAAAGTTGCCGTCGAGTCAATTCCGACTCATAGCGACTTGATAGCAACGAGTATCTTTTTGGTTTATGGTAGCACTAAAGTGTCATGAAGAAACTACTATTCAAATAAAACGAGAACCATGTAAGTTTTTAACTGACACAAGTGTTATTTGCAATAAACCTCACAAGTTTACAAGAGGCCTTGTTCCAGGGTAGTAAACTTCACGACTCATGGAGGTTATTAATCAAGAACACATTCTAACCCATTCCCATCCTTTTCTGTCTCTGTAGGTCCTATAGGGGAGATGCACCAATTTTTACTAAGCTTAAATACTCCAATAAATTTATTAGGAAGAGATCTGTACCCAAAGGAAATTGCAAAATAAAATTCTCAGGAACAGGAGAAATGCTATTAGATTTTCCTGAAGCCAGTCAACAAGTAGACTGTATGATAGAAAATCCTTTAAATGAAGAAGCCTATTGCTATTTACACCACTCAGCTTACCCCACCGCAAGAAGGTCATTCCCCTACTTTATCCAATAGTATGAAATGTCTTTCTTCTGTATCTGAAAGTTTATGAGCTCCTACTTCTGTTGATGTTGGTTGGCTCCTATCAGCTGAACCAATTAAAAGTCAGATAACCTCTAAACCCTTACCTAAAATTTCTCAATAGTATATAAAACGAGTAGCTAAGGAAAGACTTGTTCCTATAATTCAAGACGTTTTGGCTAAAGGCTTAATAATACTTTGCACTGATCTTTGCAACACTCCTGTTTTCCCTGTTAAGAAACCCAACATTTGGGGCTGGAGATTTGTGCAAGACTTGTATGCTATTAATCATAGAGTGATTCCGAGATTGCCCTTAGTTTCTAACCCTAGCTTCTCCTCTCTAATGTCCTTCTGAAGTGATTCATTTTACAGTAGTCAAATTTTGCAGGACTCTTCTTAGCATTCCAGCCCATCCATACAGTATTTGCCATCACTTGGGGGTATCATCTGTTTACCTGGACTGTCATGCCCCAAGTTTTTCCTGAGTCCTTCACCTATTTTTCTGAGATTTTACCTGCAGATTACAGACTTTACACTTCACTTGGGGGGGGGTCTACATTTTTACAGTATGTGGATGATTTACTGGTCTGCTCTAAACATCAACAGGCATGTCTTACCGATAGTATCCTATTGTTGCAACATTTGTCCAGAGGAGGTCGCAAAGCCTCCAGAGAAAAATCAGTTAGCCCAAGCGTTTGGTAAGTACTTCGGACATATTACTTCAGCAAAAGGGGTAACTATAGACCCCAAAAGAAAAGAGAGCTTATCCTGTCTCTGCTAACCAAGACCAGAGGGTTTCAAGGATGCTGCTGCTTTAGCTGTTGGAGAAGTTGGATACCTAATCTTTCTCTGCTGGGTCAACCTCTTTATCATTATGCATAGAGTTCAGAGCTTGACCCCTTCCACCTCTCCGAGGATAGCTGAATGTCCATAAGTCAACTAAAAGAAGCATTAACACTGCTGCTCGAGAGTTCCCTAATTATAATTCAGCATTTTCACTTTTTCTCCCTGACATTTCAGGGAATGCTTCAAGACTCCTCAAAAACATGGAGAGCAATAGAGACCCATTGCTTATTATAGCATACAGCTGGACCCCGTCACAAGGGGGAGAGTAGTCGCTACAATTGCTAGACTAGTCAATGCCAGACCATATATTGTTTCAGGAAATTTTCTTGACATTTATGTCCCTCATGTAGTGTCAGCCATTTTATATTCAGCAGTTACTCAACACCTGTCGGCTAGCAGACTGCCTTCTTATGAAGTTCCTTGGGCCGCTTCTAATATTAGGTTACATACTATAACCTCTCTGAATCCAGCCACATTGGTACCTTTACCTAATGATGATCATCTACACCACAATTGCTTAAATTTTATCATACCTCTTTTGTCTCCTAGACTAGATTTACAAGAAACTATGTTATTGAATCAATTTAGTTCTTTTTGTTGATGGATCATATTTAAAGCTTGAACCTACCAACACTCATTACCAGGAAGCATATGCTGTGACTGCCTCAACTGAGGTCCTGGAAAGTGGCAGTCTTCCTGAAGCCACTTGAGCTCAGCAAGCTGAACTAATTACAGGTACAGAGGCTTGGAAAAAGGCTTGTGGATGGTCGGTAAATATTTTTTACTGATCTAGGTATGCTTTGGAGTTACTCATGGTTTTGGCATGTTACAGAAACAAAGGGGGTTCCCGACTTCTTCTGGGAGCCAAGTTAAAAATAGGCTTTTTAGTAGCAGACCTCTTAGAAGCCCTTTTGCTCCTCTCTGAGATTGCTGTAATTAAAATCCAGGCCCACCAAATCAAAGGAGCTCCACGAACATAGGAAATTAAAGGAAACAACTTAGCTGACAGAGCAGCTAAACAAGCCACTTCCCAGTCACCCTTTAAAGATGCTGCACTCATTCATGACCATGATAATTACGCTCGTGATCATGATGAAAAGGAGAGAATAGATAACAATGAACAGGACGCTTGTAAATATGGCACCTGTAAAATGTTGCTCACCAAAATTTGACCCCCCAAAATTTTGGGATCACTTTTCAAACACTTAACAATTAACTCCCCCAAGGAAACTACAGAAAGGGAACAAGTTGGCTATCGTCAGGATCCAAAACAGTGGACTGTGGATCAGTCCTAACAAAAAACCCATTTTGCCATAATGCTTACATGTTCCTATGGTTAGGAATGACTGGAATGATGATATAGAAATAATGACAGATAAACTAATCAGGGCTTTAGAAGCCCATTGATAGGGAGATTTTCCTGTCACTGTAGACGATGTTTTTTGCTAATGGTTTTAAGGATCACACCCCACCTTGTTTCAGTCCTGTTAATTCTTCTCACAAGATTTTAACAGTTTTGTATGGTCCCTCATACTGGGGGACTGTTTCAGATGATGAACAACCTTTTACCATGCTTGGAGAGAATCCCTCTAGGCCTGAAGGAGTTGCCTTAAAGGATTCATTTGACTGTCAAAAATCAGCCCCACAGGATGAGGTTGAAAAATGGAAGAAACATGGTTGCTCCCAATGCTCCCCCTCTGGGATATGGATGGAATTCAAGGAGAACTTAGTTCTCCCCAAATTCCTGCAAGCCCATGTATTGGAGGCATTGCACATGAATACCCATTTGGGAAGAGATAAGATGACAGGAATTGTAAACAAGTATCGGTGAGGCATTTTTATGAAGCCATTGAACAAGTTGCTTCCTGATGTTTGACTTGCTCTCAGTTTAATTCAGGCAAACTTATAAAGCTCCACCTGGGAGATTTCCCTTGCTGTCAGGACCAATGCTTGAATGGCAGATTGATTTTTACCCAACTACCCCCTGCAAGTGGTCACAAGTTTGTATTAGTAATGATTTGTAGATTTTCTCACTGGGTAGAAGCTTTCCCCAGTCCTCGAGCTACTGCCGTGTTTATGGATAAGAAACTTCTTGACATCATTATTCCACTTTGAGAGAACCACGGGTCCTTTGTAGTGACCAAGGCACCAATTCTACTGGGCAAAAAATTAAGGAAATATGTAGAATCTTCCCAATTTTTCAAACACTTCACTGTCCTTATCACCCTCAATCCTGTGGTCCAGTTGAAAGAACTAATGGTATAAAGAAATTCAACTAGCCAAACTTCCCAAATCTTTACAATTGCCTTGTACTAAGGTTCTGACTCTGGTCCTTTTAAATGTAAAAACTACTCCATTTGGACCTCACAAATTTCTCCTCATGAAATTATCACTGGATGGCCAGTGGCCCTCCCCTATTGAGGTATATGCCCTGATTCAAATTTAGTTCAATCTGATTTCAGTACTGTAAATCTTTGATCCAGTATTCTAAAGAATACAAAGGTTAAGGAAGATTTTGATAATGAAAGGCAAGAAATATCAAAATTAAACCTAATGTTCAACCTGGAGATTATGTTTACTGGAAAAGACACCAACTTAAATATTCTCTTGAACTTCAGTGGGAAGTACCGTATTTGTTCCTTCTCACTAATCCTTGTGCCGCTAAATTATAGGGAGTTAAACTTTGGATTTATTTATCCCAAGTGAAGAAAGCTCTGACTCCTGAATGGACTGTTGAGCCTCAGGAAGGTTTGAAATTAAAAGTCAAACGTCACGAGGAAAAGAAGCTGATGATGGCTAAGTAGACTGCTTTCCTGAGATCCTTGGACCTGACCTGAAACTGCCTATGCAACCTGTAGTAAAAGTTGGACTGCTTGCCTTTTTCTTTATGATTTTTAGGTATCTTCATATCATTAGCTGCTATGCATGATTGTGGACTTGTATCCTGGTGGTTTTGATGATCATATTATGCAAGTTGTAATCTTTGAAATAAGTTGTTTAAATGAAGGCTTTAACTTGCTTTGAATTTTTCTTCGTCACTGGAATCATAATTTTTAGTTCTGGATATTTTGATGGATTTAATGATCTAACTCGTCTCGATCATTATATTCATTTTTGCTTAATTTGAATGTATAACTTGCCATTGCTTTCGAAAGACCTGTTTCTTTTTTAAACTCGAACTTTTAGAATAAAAAATTTTCAGTGTAGAGGTACTAAGAATTTGTTTTCCAATTATTCTGATCCTTTTTATTTTCATTGGACTCCAACTGTGGCTTATTATTCCTTGTATTTAATATCTTGTTCTTCTCCTGAAAACCCAAACCCCTTTTTATAACACTGCTTTTACAGAATAGTTATATTTCTTATGACCTCAGATTGGAATCCATATCAATTCCCTTGTTTTAAATTCTAAGCACATTTTTATAATTGTTGCTACCATTTATATTCTGTTAACGCCTTGCTATTGATGGCTGTCACAGATTAATTCAGTATGACACGTGAATATTAGAGTAACAGTGTATCTTTTTTATCATTAGCCTTCTAATTATGTTTGCCCCTTATTGGTTAGTAGCCTTTTTAGCCTCCATCAGGCCTTTCACTTCTGAAGTTTATTTTGTCATCACTATTATTTGTGTGCTGGTTACCTTTGTTTATTTTTTGGGGGCTGTGTTTCTTAACTCTGAAGCCCTTCTTAAACTTTCTGCCCATAGTGCTGTTCATCATAGCTCCCATTAATTCTTGGCATGAGAATGCCTTTGTTAAGCTTGCTTAGGCAGTTGCATGATCCACAGATTTTACTAAATGCTGGACCTGTCATCCCTTACCTGAAACTGTACATGAAAACTCAGATCCATTAGCTACTCCTATACTGAATTATATCTTTGTTCCCCCACTACTGTCAATTTTAACATCACCTTTAGGCAAGCCATACGTGTGGTACTGTGCCAGCCTCCTGAGATACTGACTCAATCCCAAGTCCCATGTCTCAGTCTGACTTTAATTAGAGTTAAAGAGTGTTCCAAAATATCCTAATCACGTCTTCAGATTGTAAAAATGAGCCCTTAATCTCATATGATGTCCCCCTCAGGTATAGGACTGTGGCTTTTTCAGGAAATTTAACAGCATGTCTACAAGGGAAAAGGTCTTTCTGTGTCTAAGTGTGGAATTGGCTAAGGTTAGGATGACTGTCTATTTGCAGCAACTCCTTGACAGAGACTAGGCTTGAGTTGATGAATCAAACCATCCCTCTCCCTGGAGAAAGATGCCGGCACTTGCATAATATGTGCCCCATATGGTTATGTATTTTTATGTGGAAGGATCAAGATACCCCACCTCTGTCCATTCAAATCCAAACAATGAGTCCTATACCTGGGCTTTATCCTATTACGATGGTTGGACTGTGACAGGCCAGTGTACCCTAGGCCGTATAGAAATCTGTTTAGACATGCATTCTTATGATGAGAGTTTACATTGGATTGACCACCTGTAACTATTAGAAATGAGGAGAGACAAACGGTCAAGATATGGGCAAGGGAGAGATGGAGGGAACCCCTTAAAGGAGTTCCTTGGTATCTTAGTCATCTAGTGGTGGTGTAACAAATACTACAGGTGGATGCCTTTAACAAAGAGAAATTTATTTTCTCACAATCTAGGAGGCTAGAAATCCAAATTCAGGGCAACAGCTTCAGGGGA